AGAGCTCTTCTTACAGGAGCTACTGTAAGCTCTTGGAGGATTGGCTACATTAGGGGTTTGTCGCTTAATATGCAAATGAATACCTGCTACAAAAAGAGACCTGGAGCAATGCTGTAATGACAGCATTATAAGAGAACAGGCTAAGAATAAAGCAAACAAGAAACAGCTGATCAGAATAATAAAGGCAAGGTAAAGTGTGTCATGGAGTCATAACCTGCTCATTGTGACCCCATGAAACTCTGCCTCATGGTGTTTCCAAGGCAAGAAGTAAGCAGAGGTGGTTTGCTGATTGCAGTCCTCTGCACAGCTGCCACAGTCTTCCCTGGTGGTCTCCCATGGAAGCACTGACCTTGCTTAGCTTCAAAGCTTTGATGAGATGGAGCTAGTCTGGGCCATTTGGCCTAATCAGAATCATAGCAGGGATTGATCAGTAGCAGTACAATTAACCAAAAGTAGGTGTCAGGTGAGCTTGGGTGCCAGGTGAGCTTAGGAGGGAACATGGTGCAAAGCTGCAGCACTAGTTCAAGGATAGGAAGGCCTGTCTCTGGTATCCATCTGTCTCAACCTCTGTAGGTAGGGGAACCAAGATGATGCAGAAGATGAAGTGGAGGAGTCGTTGTTGTTGATGGATTTATAGCCTGCCCTTCACTTGAAGTCTCAGAGTGGCTTACAATCACCTTCTGTTCCTCTCCCCACAACAGCTGAGAGAGCTCTGAGAGAACTGTGACTGATCCAAGGTCACTCAGCTGACTTCATGTGGAGGAGTGGGGAATCAAACCCAGTTCTCCAGATTAGAGTCCACTGCTCTTAACCACTACTTCAGACTGGCAGAATTCAGTGATACAGAGAAAGGCTTCTCAAATGTTGAAAGTTGAAGAACAAAAGTCCTTGAACACTGGTCTGCAACCTATGGTACTGGATTCAAATGTGCCTCTTTGAGAAACAAAATCAAGTCTTTAAGATATTTTGGAGGGATAAGTGGGATGTTAAAATAACCAGTATGTGAAGTCAAGGGGACTTCTTAGAGATGCTTTATAGGAAGGAAAATGACAGAGGTGAACTGCTGCTAGTCATTCAATTGCGAACTGTGAACATATTATGTCAGTGCACCAAAACCCTAACAGATCACCAAGGAAGACTCTGCAGAAGAAGGCAGTGGCAAACCACCTCTGATTTTTGTTTGCCTTAAGAGCTCCTTGGTGGGGTTACCAAATTGGCTGCAATTGTACTGAAACAGTCACACATGGTTCTTCTGTGTGTATTTATCACTTACCGTGAGGAGTTTTGTGTGCTACTTCCTCCCAACAGCCGTTATTTGGGCTGCAGAAAATTTCAGTATATCAATTATAAGTAATGTTGGGTTGTATATTTTCATTTATGTAAATGAGCTTCCATATATCAGCCCTTCATTGATCTCTTGCTCTAAATTTTGGCACAGTTTAGCTGTTTGATTATTTAGAAAAAACTGCTGACCCATGGCACTGAAACTTAATTAGCAGTCTTTGTATTTACTTTAAGTACTTTAAGTGCTGGAACGTTTTTTCCTAACCCCAAACATTTGGAATGGGATGGTATATACATTTTGGGGGTAAATTAAATCCCTCCCTACACACACAAAAGGAAGAGTTGTTATAGGGTACATTTTGAAGCTTAATTTTCACAGTTATGGATTAGATCATCGTTGCTCTGTTGAGGCTAGTTAAGAATGAAAGAGATGGTGAATGTCTGGTTAGCTGAGAACTTGAGCATCCCTCATTCTGCAGACTGTGTGAAACAGAACTGGTCAGGAGGGCATCTTCAGAAAGGAAATAGAGCTGTGGTTTAATGGAATGGTTCAGGGGGCACTTCATAAAAGGTACAGGATTACTCCATTGCCATTTAAACCTTTTATCCTACTCTTACTGTATTGACTTGTACTTTTGTAATTCCATTTTCTACATTCTTTACTGTATATCCTGTTGGGTACCTTTTTATTTTTCATTGTTTTTCTAACTTCTGTAAAACCATGTTGCATTGTTTATTGACTGTCTTATGTTGTCCAATTGCATTGTTTATATTGTGTGATCAGCTGGCGAGAAAGGCAGGCTATAAATAAAGTAAATAAATAATAAGTAAATAAGAACAGTGGAGATTCTGGTGTGGGAACAGCAGCAAAGAGTGTGCTCTTCATTGGTGGAAGACCTTGTTCAAACACTTCTCCTGTTTACAGAACTTTCTGTCACTTCTTTCTGTGGCCTTAGACCAGAGACCTTTTACACTTGTACATAATGGCTGCCCTCCCAGGATCCTCCCTGGCCACCTTCATTATGTAAATGCACCTAAACAGTTCATAAAGTACTTAGCCCGCACTTATTCCTTGCCTTCCTGTGCCTTCTCAAGGTGAGAAGTTCCTTCCCTTCTTCCACCCCCTGAACCCACCCACCCTGTTGTCCGTCTGGTTCCTGTAGCCAGTCCTTCCTTGGGTTCTTTAGGGATTGGGTTTCATTGCTGCCCGGGGGCACCTCCTTTGGCGCAGTCTCTCTTCTTCTGGAGACTTCTTCCCAACCTGGAACTGGCTATGCCATCATCTCAAGTTTCTCACAGCCTCCTGTCCCCACCTTTGACTGGCTGCTGTGACTCTTCCTCGTCTCTGCCTCTTTCACAAATTTTGGAGCCTCCCTTTCTCCACCACAACTGTCGGCCTCCTCAGCCTCTCTCTCTGCTGCTGCTCCCCTCCCCCTCATTTCCCCAGCCACCAGACTTTAAATCCCACAGTCGAACATATGACCCTTGTTATCCCCGCAGTCGCGGTACATCACTTCTGTAGCTTGCTGGCCACACTGCCTTTTGCAAGAGCTAAACAACCACACTTTTGAACTAATTTCCTCTAGTGAAGAGTATATTGTTAGGTTTCCTCATCCACCCCAAGAATTCCACCTTTTCTCCTATTAATCATACTTTTTTGTGTAATCTCTGTTGCTTGGGTGCTACTCCCTTGCTCTCCTGTAAGACAGAGAGTGTCATTCTCTGCCCTAATATCACAGGATAAGGATAATGTCTACACAGAGTTTCTAAAAACATGTTACAGTCAAATGAACAGATGTGACAGCCTCATGTTGGCTGGTGGCAAAGTCCTGATAAGAAATTATTTGAAGGCTCTAGTCTGAAAGTTTTCATTTCCCCCCACCCTACACTTATTTCATACTAGCCTGCTTCCCGTGCTTCGCTACGGTATTTAAGTTCCATAAATCCAGTTATAATACTGATGATGTGAAAAATGTGACATTTGTTGTAGGAATTCTAACAGAGAAGATTGTAGTGTAAGAAATGAAGTGAAACATACGTACTTTCCCCCCTCTACTGAAGGACCGCTCTCTAGACCACATTGGTGGTTCTGCCCTCAGGTGCTGGGATCACCAGGCTGCTTGATGAGCTCACTCTGGAACAGGCCACATAGAACTGTCCATTTAAGAAACAGTCGTCTGTTAAGTCAGCTCCTGCCACCTTCCACAAAAGTGATGGCCTCTCTACTTGTGTTCCTGGATTGTTTTGCTCATATGGAGACTGTGTTGTTCTGAGCACCTCAGGGTGATCTTGCTGGTACTTGGCCTGTGCAACTCAGTGCACTGCAGGAGTACTATGTGCAAATGTCTTTGCCGCATTCCTAAGTTGCCTCCTCCTTGTAGCCTTGGTGTACCTGGCTTGACGTTTGCCAGGAGCTTTCTTGGGGGCAGTAAGAGGTGAGAGGTGTGAGGGGGAGTTGGTGTGAGAGAGTGGTGATGTGGTGGACATTCCTTCAGGTTCATGAGGGGGGCACACATTGAAATGGCTCCTAGAAATGTCCTTTACTATCTCCCAATAAACATTCATACCCTGGCCAAAGAAGCTGCCACACAGAGCGCTGCAAAGTGTAAATATATTAACACATACAAATGTCACAGTATATCAAAGTAGCAGCTTCTTTGTGTTTTTGCAATGGTTTCTTGTAGCTGTGACCTTCGCTTTTTGTTCATTGCCTGCTCCTACACCTGACAGACACCGGCCTGTCTGGTGTTGGGGGGGATTGTATTTAAAGGTATCGGGGAGGCTGGGCCAGCAGCAGTGCTAAGGCAAACCTGCTGAGCAAACCTCCCCGTTGGCTGTAAGCATCCCACCTCCTCTCCTACACCTGACAGGCAGCTGCCTGTCCAGTGTAGGAGGGGGAGGGGGCAGTACTAGAAGGCACGGTGGAAGTGGGGCTGCACCTGACAGACAACCACCTGTTAGGTGTAGGAGGTGGGGGGAGTGTGTTGAAAGCCATCCCATCTCGTCTCCTACACCTGACAGGCAGCTGCCTGTTCAGTGTAGGAGGGGGAGGGGGCAGTATTAGAAGCCACTGTGGAGGTTGGGCTACACCTGACAGACAACCACCTGTTAGGTGTAGGAGGTGAGGGGAGTGTGTTGGAAGCCATCAGAGGGGCTGGGCCAGCAGCTTCGCTTCACCTCACAGGTGGTTGTTGGCCACTCCTGATTTCCTCAGCTGTCATTAGCTCTCTGCAGTCCCCTGTAACTGTTTTTTTTAACCTCATAACACTGAGCTCTGCAGCTGACAATCAGAGAGTGGGGGGTGCAGAGAGGCAGCTGCCTGGCAGCCACATAGGAATCATAGTGAGGGGAGCCCATTTTCCCCCTTTTGACCCACTTAGGGGTCGAATTTCTTAAAATCCCTTCTTAGCGAGGACCTATGCCATGGTAGGAGCGCTCTCCCCGATTTTGGTGTCTCTAGGTCCAGCGGTTTGGCCTGAGCATTGATTTTATGGTGAGGGGACTTTCATATATATATATATATATGAAAGTCCCCTCACCATAAAATCAATGGCATAGGTGCACACACACACACACACACACACACACACATACATACATACATACATTACTCGTATATTTTTCTCCCTAGAGTGTGGTTGTTCTGAGGCCACTGTCTGTGAGCATCTTCTTCACCTTCTCTCTCTGCTTCCTCCCCCCTCCCCCGATCTCTCCAGGTTCCCTCAAGAGTCCCATGAACAAGACAGCGCTGACATTAATTGCAGTGAGCTCCTGCATCCTGGCTATGGTGTGTGGCACTCAACTGTCCTGCCCACTGACGGTCAAGGTGACTCTACACGTTCCTGAACATTTCATTGCAGATGGTAAGGACCTCGGCTTGTGTTGGACAATTGGGGTTCTGTTTGAATGATGGTTTGCAGAGGGTTTTTCCCCTGGATTATATCAGTTTTCTAAGGACTCTGTGTGCGTGTGTGTGTGTGTGTTTTGTGAGTGCTTATTTTTACCCCTGGTCCTTGTAGCCCTGTATCTTGTATCCAGTGGTGGCAGCATCAGATTCTACACAGAACATAAAAGCAGCTTCTCTGGATCAAGACAAAGGTCCTTCTAGTTTAGCATTCTGCTGCCAAAATAGCCAACTAGATCCTTCCAGGAATCTCAGGAGCAGAGCATCAAGGTCCTCCTGCTGAGTGCTGTTGGCTCCCAGCAGTTTTTACTCAGATGGCATGCAAAGAGAGCATTCCATTTGCCTTAAAAAATAATAATAATAAACTTGCATTTCCTCCAGGAAGGACAGAGCAGCATGGTGTGGTTCTCCCCTCCTCTATTTCATCTTCCCAGTAAGCAGGGAGTGCTGTCTGGCAGAGCATGTGACTGGCACAAGACCATCCAGTGGGCTTTGTACATTTGAACCGTGGTGGTCCTGATCATGCACTCTAACCACCGAACTACACTGTTATCAATGATAGCTGCTGTAATAATAGCTGCTGCTGTTGAAACCCAGGTTTTGATAGGTCATGGAAGCTCTCTTAATAAACAGGCTTTCTTTGTCCATCTTGAGATTTCAGAGGTGCTTCAGTGTTGACATCTATAAATTGTGTAGCATTATAGAATCGTATATTTTCAGGGGTGAGTTTATCTAAGCCTAGGCTCTTGTGTTTAGCTTTATATCCCCTTCAGGTCTGAGAGCTTGTGCTGTGCTTCTTTGGCCCTGTTGCGTGTGCTTCCCAATGAACCCATGCCATAGGGGATTGCCATTAATCGTTTTGACTGTACAACCTCCCCTTAAAATTAAAAAAAACCCATGCATTGCAATTTGTACCTCGTTTTAACCCCGTGCTAACCTCATGAGGTAGGTTAGGCTGAGAAATAACAACTTGCCAAAGGCTACAGCTTAGGTCTCATGTGCCCAAACACATATCAGTATGCAGTGTGCTATGCTGGCCTTGGAATCCAGGCTTCAAGGAAGGAAGTTGCTTGGCTGACTCACTCTCTTAATTCATCACTCATGGGAATCACCCTCAATTTGGAAAATGTAGTGTGCAAATCAGCCCCGGGGCAGACTGCCTTTTTGCTGCTTCTCCCTCGTCTTATCTGAATTGAGGACTATTTGCCTCCAAGACTCAGGAAGCCAGTGAATTTCAGCATCCCATGGTCAGCTGAAAGGCATTTTGGGAAGTAATTGGGTCACCAGAATAGGGGCCGGGGCCAGCGTCAGCATACCTTCAGGTGGATCAGCTGCTGGAGCCCAGGACTTCTGGCAGGGCCCACTGCTGCTGACTCCCTCCCCTAATGTGCCTTTTCCCTGCCCGGTCACTTGTGAGTGATGCGTCACCCGTGCTCCCAGCTGCACATGCTGCCCAGTGCCATCAGGGAAAGGAATGTGGGCAGTGCAAATGGCTGTGAGCATGGACAGTTGGAGGGCTTGCGGGCAGGGCAGGGGAAAGATGTACATGCAGGTAGTGGGGCAGATGGATGAGTGGGCAGGAAGGGGGCTCCAGGAACTCTCTGCTCAGGGCCCCCTAAATCTTGGACCAGCCCTGGCTGGGTATGTGGATGCAGGGGCATTTCTGAGTGTGGTGTAATTTCAGACTTGGAGTAGGAGGATCTTGGGCTCTTTATATTTCCTGCTGTAGGACTGGCTTGATTTTCTTAGAAGATTACTCTTGCAGGCACCCTCTTCCTCTTGGGCTACCTTGGTCCTGCTAGCTGCGATGTATTCTCATTCAGCTGGAAACCTCTGCTGATTCTGGTTTATGACAGCTGAATTCCAGCTTCAGGTTTTTGACATATAGCAAAACTGTGAAGTTTGCAGTCATGAGGAGCCTCCCATCACCCCTTCTATTTTTATTCTTCTGACCAATTTAGAAAAGGCAAAAACTGTACCGGATGAGTAAAAAAAACAAACCAACCCCAAACCCTCTGGCTTCTACTACCACTCTGAAGCTACTGATTTCCAATGCCATTCTTGTTCCCTAGGCAGTGAAACTACTACTTTTTGATGGAAGAGAGAGAAACTGAAACATTAAACAGGAGCTGTTGTCACTTCATATTGCTTTTGCCAATTTGGGCTTCCAATATTTCTTGAGTTTTGCTGACCTTTTTCTGCATAGCAACAACTTAGCTGCATAAGGGCAAATTTCATCCTCTTCCTACAGATTGGACCTATCATTCAGTCGGTAACAATTCTTCAGCTCTTTGCACTTGTTTTTCTTTGTGGGCAAATAAACACTGTTACTTCATCTCTGAATGAAATCTTTTGTACAAAGCTCAGAACTCAGCATGTTTTGGGTGACTGTTATTGATTCAGAAAACGATCCTTCATTTTTCTATACGAGGAAGTACCGCTTTTGTATATGTTGATTTTTTGTGGTGTATGATTTATATTTAATAGGGTTTTTGGAAGGATATAACTGAAACCTTGGGAGATAGTGCCATGTGATAGAATAGCGGCTAGGGGCAGTGAGATCCAAGTTCAATCTCCACTCACCCGTGAGGCTAATGAGGTGTCTTTGAGATAAGCCCTTTTCCCCAGCCTAATATACCACAAAGAGTTGTTAGGCATGGGGTGAAGGAAGGGAAAACAACATATGCTGCCTGAGCAATTTGGAGAAAGGGTAAGAAGACATGGGTGCAATACAGAGATCAGTAAGGAGAATTTAAAGTGCATCACAAGGTGGCCTGTTAGTTAATTTGCATATTTATAGGGGGGGTTTTATACCATATTTTTCTCCCCAGCGGGGGCCCAAAGCAGCATGCATTGTTCTCTCCTCCATTTTATCCTCACAACAGTCCTGTGAGGTAGTTTAGGCTGAGAGTATGTGATGGGCCCAAGGTCACCCAGCAAGCTTCCATGGCAGAATAGGGATTTGAACCTAGGTCTCCCAAATCCTACTCTGATACCCGAACGACTACACCATCTTTCCCCAAGATGGGCTCATGTCTACTTACAGCAAGGAGATTCTGTTCTAGTCATATTTTTGTACAGAAATATTAGTATATACCATAGCAGATTTTGAAAGCTGCTCATTCCCGGGAATGTAGGAACAATGGATTCCTAGAATGAAGAATGTTTGAAGAACACCGCCACAGATGGTATTTCTTACATGGCAGTAGTGTGACATGTCTGAACACGTGCAGATTGTTTCTTTCACAATCTCTGTGGTTTGGCAAAGTTCCTGGAAGGAGATGCCTGGAGCAAGCTACCCTTTCTAAATCTTCACCAAGTCCGTGCCATTCTTCTAATGCGGGGGTTCCCTCCCCAACCTTTCTGAGCCTGCCTGCAAGCACCTTTGGGATTCTGACACAGGGAGCTGAGTGCAGCTAAAAATTAACTTCCACAAGAAGTGGACCCATCTGCAAAATGTCGGAGTGAGATTGAACATACCTTTAATAGTAATTCTTCAACATTTCAGGCAGCCTCTTACCTTAAACTTTTCTGTTAGATGTGACTGGCTGCATCATTTTTTTTGTCCTGTTCAGTATACCTGCTGCTAGGCTAGAGGTGCTATAGAAGGTCAGAACAGTAGTCTTGGCTGAAAGCCATTTGAAGCGTGGATGACCCAACAGGTTATGGTTCTGCCTCTCTGCACTTCCATTATGTGCTGTGAAGTTATCCTGTGATGCTGCATACCCCGTTAGAGACCACTCAGATGCTTCACATGGCTAAGAGAACTTGGCTTTGAAGTTTTCCCATTGACCTCTCACACTGCTCCCTGCACACACACTAGCAAACTTTTCTTTCCCCACCAAAATGGAGAAAAGTACCCTGCAATTTTCAAGCTCAAATTGTTTGAAGGCTTTAATGAGCTGAATTAGCGACTTCCATGCTGGGGAAGAAGCCAAGCTAATAATGCTTCTTTGGGTGTCATTAAAATGTCCAACTTCAGCTCAGCACTGGTATCTCGAAATGGCTTATCCTGTGTTTGCAATCAGCACGATGCTGTGATTTGTTGTAGTATTAAAGGAGAGGCTCCAAAGGTGCCAAGGAAAAGAGTTAGAGGAGTGGTGTCTTTTGCACAAACCAGCCAACTTGCAAATTAAGCAAGGTGTGCAGAACTTTTGACATGGCTTCAGTAAGCACTAGAGAGGCATCTTCCTTCTGTCATGCTACCGCCTGGGTCATCTTGAGCTGGCACATGTGGAAACCACCTTCCTACTTCCCTGGCAACAAAGGACAACATTTCAGAATAGCAGACAGCTGCTGATGCATTCAGCCTCACCTTGGCAGCTACAGATGCAATTCCCCATTAAACTTTTTTTTTTGCAGTTTAGAATGATGTTTTACAGTTTCATTACAGATGTCATTCTTCTGTGAGCCATTCCACCAACGACACCCCCCTTCTCTTTAGAAAAGTCATTAAGCTTGGATTGGCGATCAGCCCATTTCTCCCCAGTTCCAAGGGTATTAATCTGTTTTATTGGTATTTCATTGGCAGCTCTGTGCATGCGTTCTGAATACTTGCATAATTTGCTCAGCCGCCTTTTTCCAGGGGGACTGGGAAATAAGTGATTCCATTTTTACTGTAATATTACAAAGACATAGTAGATTTCATTTCATTTCATCTTCCTTTCTCTCGTTTTAAGAGTGGTTAGGAGATGGGGAAGCCTATGACTTAGGGAACAAAAGATTGTAGTACAGAATACATGTCAGTCTCATTCTACCTTTTTATTATTGTTTTAATATTTACATACAGAATAACATTTCCTACAATGCGAACACGTCATTTAACATGACAGTACTATAGAAGGCTTTTGCTTGTTGTTCACAGAACTTTTATTATACCTTGAAATGTCAACCAGTTTTCCGTGGTCTTGAAGCATATCTATTGTTAAGTATATCTTCCTAAAATTCAGTTGTGCATTA